CTCTTGGCCACATGAACAATGAGTCGGTATTCTCGCCGGCGTCCATCCATAGCGGAGACACAGGCCGTCCCAGAACTCTTGCTTCGTGAGGCTGAAACCGTACTTCTTCAGCGGACGACATGTTAACCAGCTAGATGAACCCTTCTCTCTAGCGATATCGATGACATTACGCAGACTCGCGGATGCATTCTGGACCACGTCCTCCATTGCCGCTGCCTGCGCTTGACGGGACTCTGCCTTGACTTCTGCCTTCATCTTGCGCATCTTAGTTAAGCAATCGTCAAGTGCAGTGTCACCAGACAGAATCTTGCTGGTGAGAGACTCGGTAATGCGAACTGACGAGTTGTATTGCCCACATAAGGACATAGGGCTCGTGATACCCAAGCCGCCCAAACGACACGGGAGAGCGAACACGCGCCGGAGATCCCCACCAGGAGGTGAGCGGCAGGTCAACGCTGGAATCAGTTTAGTTCTAATGGCACCTTCAAGTGGCTCCAGCAGGTGCTCGGGGATGTCCATGGTTCTGCATAGAAAGGTCCATTTCCCTCTCAGTCCTGATACAAATGCTGAGTAGGCTGCCTGGGGCTGAGTCTGTGCAATAGTTGCCAGCCGATTGACCTCTTGCACCCAGGTCTCTACCTTTCGTTGAATATAGGTCTCCTTGTAAGCCTCAGTGCCCACTGCAGCACCGAGGTAGCGTACTCCCTCAGTCGTGATAGCTACTCCGGTGTCTTTGAAGAGATCCCTCGCCTCAACAAGGCAATGTTCCTTCACCACAAGAACAGACTTAGCTGGGTTCACAACGTAGCCATATGCCGGTCCCTGCACCGTCAGGACATCCCACCACTGACGTACCCGATTCAAACGGCCCGCTGCAGAGGAATCATCTGCGAACCAGGACTGCACTGTCTCCTCGCCAGCTGCTGCACGGATCAGGGGTAGCATGCCCAACGCATACATATGCATGGCGAGTGGATCACCCTGCGTCGTGCCTTCTTCGGAAAGAATGCACTCACCATCGATGTATAGATGCGCAGGTTCCCTGTACGTATTGATCAATATTGTAGCGAGGGGTGGACACAAGTGCCGGACGTTGCGAAGGCAGACTTGTCGATTCAACCGATTGAAAGCGTTGGACGCATCAGCCATAATAATGCCGTCAGTATCATCCTCGGCAAAAGCAGATTGCATCGCATGCACTCCCGCCTCTATGCCGCAGTCTAAGCCAGCACATAACTGGTCACATCCGACTGCCCCCTGCACAGCATGACCGGCAATGGAGAGGATTGCTTTACTGATAATTCGTCTTACAACCTCTCCAATACCTATTGGCCGAACACCTGGGCACTTATCCAGCGCTATCAGGCGGCAAGCTGTAAAGGCGGTAAGCGAATCGGGATCGATGTATGCAGTTGCCATCCGCCTGGCACAAGAGGCCAGAGCGTCGCACAAAGTGGCGGAGGCGTCTGCGAAATTGGAGCACATGTGCCTCCAAATTTCTGCATCGACACCACTGGGACCGGCCGCACCCTGGGTGTGAAGCGCTGCCTTTCTAATTGCCTCCCGTCCAAGGCCACTGAAGTACACCGGATGGGGTTGTGATGGAGGCTCACCTGGTATAAGGACGGTGTCATCAGCTGGCTCTGGTGATGGATGCTTCTCCTTGAGTATGTCCCTGACGGTCTTGCCATCAACTATGTCGGTAATCGAATGAACACCACCACCACCGTCGTCATTTGCCAGGGTGTGGAGTGCCGTACTAAGCTTTCCAGCAGTAACGCTGTCGGCAAAGTGCCTGGCAGGATCCGCAGCGCCCCTCCGCTCAGCCCTGGACGATTTCTGTTTGGAGGTCTGGATGGTGTCTGCCTCGCTCAATAATCCCATCACATCTCCGGTAGACCATTGTTGTAGTCGTTGCTCAAGAAGCGTGCCATATTTCGAGGACTCAGCACCTGGCTTCTGTAACATAAGTGCCTGAAACACTGTCGCTATCTTGAAAGCTCTCCGCCAGTAGCTTCCACCGTCACCAAAGCAAGAGTAGAGCGCTGATAGAGCTGTTATGTACCGCCGTCCTACATTCCCCAATGGAACCTGAAACGCGTTTGGCCGGTATTGTACACATTTATTGTAAGCAATATCTATCAGCTGGTCCGTCTCCTCCGCCGAGAGCTGCCCAAGCTGGAAGGACGGCGAGAATTCATCCACCTGCTCAGGATCCGGGAGGTTGCAACGGATGTCCTCTACACGTAATACATCTACGTCAGCCATACTACTCTCTTCCAGATGGGACACCACGAGGCCATCCATCGTCGGATCACTGATGTGCTGGTGATAATTGGTGGATTCGTCTATCGGTATCCGAAACCCCATGGGCTCCTCAGCAGCCTCCCGGCCCTGGGTACAGGTGTCATCCAATGAAGCTAGCAGGCGTGCAGCTTGGCTGTCAGTGATGTCAGACGAGTTTGCATCGACTTGCTCTGGTGTCGCCTGCACGGGCGCTACAGCGTTTTCATCGCTACCAGCTACTATGGAAACGATGGTAGGGCCGCATGCACTCGATGATCGAGACGCCGACGATGATTGACATGGTGACTGATGTTGTTGTACGACCGTGGTCAACGGTGGAGGTGCCGACAACGGCTGAGATGCCGACGGCGGCTGCGGCACGGACAAGTTCAACAGTCGAGATGCCGGGGACGGTTGTGACACTGACGACACGGGGCTCGCGTTGTTTTTGCATCTCCCTTTTCTCGAAGGGACACAATTCGTACATGTGCGACCCTCCTTGGTGCAGGAGCACCCGATGCAAGTGCCATTGCCATTGCACCGGCAACACTGGCCACTCTGCATACTCTGCATGGGGAGAAGTCGAAGTCGGGAGACTCGGAGGCCGTTGCAGCTCAGCGAACTGTTTCTAACTAAAGGAAAGCTACAAAAGCCATAACAGCGCAAATGGCTCAAATGACAACATATGAACAGTAACAAGAAAGAGAGTAAAAGAAAGACTGTAGAAGACAACCGAGAGGATAATCTAGCCCCGAGCCTAACCCTGGGGAAACTCAACACAAAATGAACAATCCAAACGAGCAATGCACTGCAAATACCACAGAACGACACGAAACTGGTGACAAAAAGACGAAGGAAAAAGGCAATTACTGAATGAAGGAACACAACACAACCCAATACAGCAGTCAATAACGCGCACAGTACCATCAGATTCCTCCAAGATATCCTCCAAGCCTCATCCACCGTCAGAGCCCAAAAATCGTCAACCGTCCACCAACCGTCCACCACCATACGCCAGTTGACAAACCCCCTTTAAGTTTATATTTCTGAATAATGCAGGTGCGTGATGTCCACAATTTTCTTTATAGTGAACATGATACACGTAGCAACTTTTAGCAAGAGTCCCCTTACTTTTAGTTATTTTTGCCGGCACACTTTACTCTTCAGTCCAGGCCTCCAGGTTGTAACTTAATCAGGTAATGGCCCTCCAAGACAGTAGTAGTAGTAGTAGTAGTAGTAGTAGTAGTAGTAGTAGTAGTAGTAGTAGTAGTAGTAGTAGTAGTAGTAGTAGTAGTAGTAGTAGTAGTAGTAGTAGTAGTAGTAGTAGTGGTAGTAGGTAGTGGTAGAATTTATTATTTTACTAGGGAGCTCCCAACAGGCGTTGCCTTTTTACTGGGAACCCTAGGAATGACTTGGTGCTTGTGACAAATGCAGAAAGGGGCTTAGCTTGACGACATCCAGGTGGAAGCATGTTCCATCTGTCTGCTGCCAAAAATGAAATACAGTTGGTCGCCTCGTCAGAGTGGTCGGCCCGTCCCCTTGCACGATAGCTAGGCTAAAGGCTAAGTAAGGTGCCGGGAGCAATACACACAAGTACAACGTATTGCTGGCGACTCCTTTGCCTATCATGTCAAAAAACCCAGGGAGTCCTTTGTTCGAGTCCCTGTCATAAACCCGTATGTACATTGTTGTATGCACTTCACTTGGGGCGGCGCTCAAGTCAGTGAAGTGACACCCCTACAATTAAGACTGTCTCCTTCTTCCCCTTCCTTTTTGTCACAAAGACAACAGATAGTAAGCGCTTGCTCCACAGTTGCACATCCCCCCAAGTACCGGTACATACTAGATGTATGCAACTTTTTTTACCAGGCTCTTTTTGACGCTATTGCCAGGCAGTACTGCCAGTACTGCAGTAGTGTAGTGATACTGTGCGCATGACATACATGTACATGTATAATCATGATATTAAATACGAAGTCAAAGGTGATGGTGGTGACTAGTAGTGGTGAGGATATACATGGCGCATATGGCATGCATTGGAATCGTGGCAAAGTACTGATCGATATGATGACAGCACTACTATACCAGTACTTCCGAAGTATGCATGTTTAATTGTTTATCCTATGAGTATGAGGGCCCTATCTTGCCAGTCACCTAGAACCAAGCTTACATACCGGTAACCCCAGTTAGTTCATGTACTCATGCAGTACTCTTGCTACAGTGCATTTCAAAACTATAGTCTAGACGCGTAGGGTTTTTGAAATATTTCAAATTTGGCTGGAACTTTTTGAGAATAGTTTTCGGAATATTGCTCAGGATCGCTCCACAATTACACTCATATAGTTTCTAAAGGATTGGATAACAGACGCCCAATTTGGAAAAATTTATGCACAAAGTGATCACAGATTTTATGTGGTATAGATGCTGGCATAACGGTTTTTGCCTAGGTACGCGTCTATAGTTTTGAAATGGACTGTAGTACAGTGTACATCTGAAGAACGTAATAATGTTCAAGACACAGGTATGCAATGTTGGGCCAACTTGGCATTCATAATACTGGCAGAAAGCAAAGTGTGACAAAGAGTATGATAGCTTTGCACTCTGTGTTACACTGCGCATACACTGTTTGTGTACCCCCGCCCCCAAACACACACACCAGAACTTCAGGCAGAAGTAAAAGTGTCCAACACCGCACTACAACCTATGCCGGGATCTCAAAAAAGTCAGAACAACTGATCAAAGCAAAAATAATAATGTGCAGAAAATGAATACAAACTGAAGACTGAAAAGTGACGGCAAAAGCGGCGCAGACCACCGTGAGCAGGAGAGGATGCCAGCAATCAATGTGTTTTGTAAGAAAGCAGTAGCGTACTGTTTCGGGTCCCCAGCCTGCGGGCAACTGAAGTAGAATGTTGTGGCCAATGTATTATTATAATATCATGGACCACATAACAACAATAAGCAAGCACACGTTATAGTTCATTTTAGTGCGTGTAACGTTAGTTCCTTCATCCCGGTAACGCCAACACGGGTCAAGATTTCACGAGCGCCGCCGCACCCATGCAGTCTTCTTATTCAAGACATGCCGGCAAAGGCTTATCGATGAGAGGTGAACATTATGATAGTGTACTGCGCTGACGTTATTGAAAACAGAATAGAACCGTGGCAGCGACGAAAAACACACTTTGGAATATGCGTACGAAAGACCATGCTGTCCAGAGATTAGAATAATAGCATAGCCTGGAGACAAACCTAACGAACATGATGCTGGTAAAAAAATGAAACCAAAACAAGAAGAGAAGAGGGAGGGGGGGGGGAGAGAGAGAGAGGGGGGGGGGGGCAATAAGAAGACGCAACGCAGACAGCTCATACAGCGTGGGCGGACGTGCAAACAAAAGCGGCCGCCGCATTCAGCACATAAACATACCAGATGAACATCTAAAAACAGCACAGGTACTATGCTTTGTGAATGCCTGCATTCTCAGCATAGTCAACAGAACGGGAGCATGCGGGTATCAAGGGGGAAAAGAAGCATGAAATTGGGCCACTAGCTATAGTAGAATAATCAAATCTACACTAGACACACGGACTAAGGTATTGTAGTTCACATGGTGCGATATCTGGCATAGGGGTGTGATGCACATAACTGTACACAACAAAGGAAAGTGATTTGAAGAGTGGACACATCTGAGACATGCTCCTCACGAGCACTGTTTTATAGGAGAGTCAGAGCGAGAGAGAGAGAGAGAGAGAGAGAGAGAGAGAGAGAGAGAGAGAGAGAGAGAGAGAGAGAGAGAGAGAGAGAGAGAGAGAGAGAGAGAGAGAGAGAGAGAGATAGAGAGAGAGATACAGAGAGAGAGAGAGAGAGAGAGAGAGAGAGAGAGAGAGAGAGAGAGAGAGAGAGAGAGAGGGAGGGAGGGAGGGAGAGAGAGAGAGAGAGAGAGAGAGAGAGAGAGAGAGAGAGAGAGAGAGAGAGAGAGAGAGAGAGAGAGAGAGAGAGATACAGAGAGAGAGAGAGAGAGAGAGAGAGAGAGAGAGAGAGAGAGAGAGAGAGAGAGAGAGAGAGAGAGAGAGAGAGAGAGAGAGAGAGAGAGAGAGAGAGAGAGAGAGACAGAGAGAACAGAGAGAGACAGAGAGAGAGAGAGATACAGAGAGAGAGAGAGAGAGAGAGAGAGAGAGATACAGAAAGAGAGAGAGAGAGAGAGAGGGAGAGTGTGTGTGTGTGTGTGTGTCAGAGAGACACACAAAGAAATCTGCCGTGAGTAAGCAACATATCGCCAGCCCTATTCCAGCAGTTAACACGACACACTCAGCTGATCACCTTACGGTTTTGGTGGGTGATGCAGATCGTGAGCTGCCAGCACCACCAGCATTCATGCTATGCCAGCAATTGTCAAACTCCGCCTTTCTGTCCAGCACGCGCTGCTGCCTAGCACGGCAGCGATCCTCCAAATCTGCTATGTCCTGAGTGAGTGCCTGTCTCTTCAGCTCCACAGCCTCCTCGATGGCTTTCATATCGTCGGGGCCCAGCAGCGGAGTGTCACGCTGAACGCCCACACCGTCCAGTACCTCTCCCATGCGCAGCGAATTACGCACGCACAGGATCGAGCAATCGGCGTCCATCGGCACAATCACGTCGCTGAAGATCTCCGACATGAGCTCGTGGTTGCGGCGGAAGCGCGCAGTCGACACCTGCTTCTCGCCGTGATCGTCGTCAAGATCGTCCTCCTCTACTGGGTTCTGCTGCTGCTGCTGTTGTTGCTGGTGCTGTTGTTGCTGCTGGTGGTGCTGCTGTTCCATGACGAGACGTCGCTCGTCGGGCCGATGCACCTGCATCAGGGACGGATTGCCACCGGGCATGGCCGCTCCGCCAGCCGCAGCACCACCGGCGGTCATTGCTACTGGCGGAGCGGCGGCAGCAGCAGCAGCGCCACGGTGGTGCGGCTGCGGGAGCGCGTGCGCCGGATGCATGGGCGTCTGCCCCGCCGTCGCCGCCTGCTGCTGGCTGATGGCGGCGCCCGGCATGGCCATGGAGCTCATGGCGCTGGCCATCGACGACTGTCCGAGGCTCTGCATCGCGCCCATTCCCATTGGGGTGTTCCCAGCACCGATGCCAGGGGGCGGTGCCATACCCATGTTCTCGCCGCGCAGCTGAGCGGCAAACCACTGCTGACGCTGTTGATACACGGCGGTATGCTGATGCTGCTGCTGTTG